ATAATGCGTCATTCCATGGCGGAGAGAAGAAGTGAAGTCATGTGACACAAACGCTTAGATAAATCAGTGTTGCTGGGGATAGATATTTTTTCATATTCCCGCGTCCAGTTCATAAACACATGAAGCAAGATACATTACAAACCTACGTGGCCCGGCGTTGCACGGGCATGTCGAATAATGAGTCGTTCCCTGGCGGAGAGAAGAAGTGAGGTAATGAGACACATACCCAACATTCTCTCCTAAATAAATAAGGAGTAAAGAACAGTTCCAGCTGCATAAAAAGTTTGTATCTGATGATGATTTTGTCCTTCAATAACATTTAGATGGCATTCTCTTGCATGTTGTACCATAGCTGACAATCGGCTATTTATTTTTTCTTCTGTTTCTTTGGCTCTTCTCTCATGGCCACGTTGTGCCATTACTGACAATCGGCTATTATTTTGTTCTGTTTCTTCCGCTCTTCTGTCCAGACTACGTTGTGTCATGGTTTCTTTCTTCGCGAGTTTCAGCAACTCTCCTTTCACGTTTTCTAATTGCCTGCTGTCTACGGGCAGCATCCCATATAAATCCTCTTTTTCTTTTAGGCATTGGAAAAAGCGAGAATTGAACAAAGCAAAAATAGTAACTTCCAAATATCAGTTTAAAATAGCAGCTACCAAAAATATTTAAACTTGATGAAATCAATGAATAATGATCAAAATCACTAACATAACTAATCTATATCTTTTGGCACATAACTTTACAGAAACAAAACACGCTTGTAAATTCGTTAAAATGATTCTGTTTGACGTTATGTCACGGGATAAAAAAAAGAATTTATGCACTTCCAACAATACATTTTTTATTTCTGTCAGCGTCTCTTTTTTATTGTTGTTGTAACAATGTTCTTAAAAGTAAACAACTTCAATAATAAAATACTAGCTGCATGACCCGGCGTTGCACGGGCTAAATCGAATAATACCTGAGGTCACGTGACACATGCCTAATGTGTGTTATAATATTGTTGAAGTGTGTTGTATTAGTGTTTTCACCTCCTGCTTCAGCTGGGTGTAAATGAGAGGTCCTGTGATAAATTTGGCTATGAATTCTGAAGCAATACACTCCTCTCCCTGTAGACGGTACAATCTGTGCACCCAATGAAGCACTGGTACGACCTTATGTTATTTTTGAAATGCACTGATAATTCATCAGAGCCATCCATCAATCCTTTCATTTCCACTGGATATACTGAAGCCTGCTCAATTATATTTCCATTATGTCAACAATGAGTGTAAATTCCTCTGGTATTCTTTTCATCCTGGAAATACAACCCTCCGCATTTCAGACAGAGATTGTCCATTTCTCCACAGTTGTGTTCTTCAGTTCAGAACAGTTCTAACTGTATAAAAAGTTTGTATCTGATGGTGATTTTGTCCTTCAATAACATTTAGACGGCATTCTCTTGCATGTTGTAGCATGGCTGACAATCGGCTATTTCTTTGTTCGTTTGTTCCTTCGGCTCTTCTCTCCTGGCCACGTTGTGCCATTATTACTAATCGGCAATTTCTTTGTTCTTCTGTTTCTTCGGCTCTTCTCTGCTGGCTACGTTGTCCCATTATTGCCTATCGGCTATTTCTTTGTTCTTCTGTTTCTTCGGTTCTTCTCTCCTGCCCACGTTGTGCCATGTCTGACAATCGGCTATTTCTTTGTTCTTCCACTCTTCTGTCCTGGCCACGATGTGCCATAGTTGACAATCGGCGGCTTCTTTCTTCTTCAGTTTCAACAACTCTCCTTTCACGTTTTCTAATTGCCTCCCGTCTACTGGCAACATCCCCTGTAATTCCTCTTTTCTTTCAGGCATCGGAAAAAGCGAGAATTGAACAAAGCAAAAATAGTAACTTTCAAATATCAGCTTAATATAGAAGCTTCTACAAATATTTCAACTTGATCAAATCAATGAATAATGATTAAAATCACTAACATAACTAATCTACATCTTTCGGCACATAACTTTACAGAAACAAAACACCCCTTTTAATTTCGTTAAAATGATTTTGTTGGACGTTATATCACGGGATAAAAAAAAGAATTTATACACTTTCAATAATACATTTTTTTTATTTCTGTCAGCGTCACTTTTTTATTGTTGTTGTAACAATGTTCTTTAAAGTAAACGACTTCAACAATAAAATGTATTTTGAATTGCGCTGCAACAATGAAAAGTATTGTTATAAAGTATCCGAAACAACGAAAAGTATTCTTGTAAATTAGCTTTTTAATTAATATCTTTTTCACTAATTAAAATTTCGAAATTTAAATGGCCGAAATGGATTCCCTGGATTATTCCCCATCTTTTGGTACTTTCCACGCGCTTCTCCGTTCGGCGGTTCGTGAGAAGACCGGACATACAAATGTAGTGATGCTATATTTTTAGGGAAGTTTTTGTAAATCACCTTTTATATTTTTTTCTTATTTACAAAAAGAATTCACTACAAGTCATTGGTATGTCAATTTTTATTTTCTTTTGTTTGCTCGCTCTAAATCCACTCTGAGGCATGTAAAGAGAACTTTCAAATTTTTATATGGACTCTATTGGGGGGGCTGTAAAAGGAATTTTTGAAAATGACATGACTAGTTTTTATTATTCCCCGATTCATATGTCAAATGAATTGGCTTTATATTTTTTAAATTGAGTGTCAAATGAATTAGCCTTTTAGTTTTTATTTTTCTCTGATTCATATGTCAAAGGAATTGGCTTTATATTTTTAGTGGAGTGTCAAATGAATTAGCCTTTTTGTTGTAAAATATCATTTTAATCATTATTTGCTTAATTCTTTTTTTTTTAATTCTCTTGTTTATTCTTTTATGCCTCATGTTCATGTGTCAAAGAAAGGGCTTTATACATTTTAAGTAAGGATTTAAATTGTGCTCAAACTGAATTTATTTTATATGTTTTAAATGGTTTTTTTTTATGTCTTTTATGTGTCAAAATGGGTTTTTAATTTAAAGCATTCTGTAACTGGGTTTTTCTCTTCAATGTCCTTCGTTTTCTTCAAAGCAATAGCGTGGGTGAGTTTAAATCGCGATTTTAGTGCTTAGAGGGATGCTAAGTCGTTCTTTTCATTTCCGGTCCTGTGGGCCGTCCAAGATGGCTATCCTTGGTGAAGGGGTTGGAAATCATGACGTTGCGTGTCTTCCTCGTCGGTACTGGTTGCTTGACCAATAGCGGTCAAGCGCTGTCGTCGCGATGACGTAGATTCGCCCCACAGTACTTAAGGGGTTGCAGGAAATAGATTCGGCCTTTTTGATTTTGGCTCTTCTCAAGTGAGTGGCCTTGACGTCCTGATGCCCGAGCGATAAGTTAGTTTTGCTGAGATCCTCTTTGTGATAGCGCAACTGCGAGATGGCGGTATGGTGAAGTTGGCAATCCGTGAACATCGGTGACGCTGAGAATTCGGCGGCCTCTTTATGCTCTGACGCAGCATTAGTAGCCGATTTTGAATTGATGGACATCCTCAGTTTGTTTGACAATGGACTCTTTGGCAGTAATCAGGCCGCCAATTTTCCGTTGGATTGGCGCGCTTGAAAACATTTAGAGCCGTGAGTTAACTACAAGAAATGAGTCGATCTTGAAACGTCGTTGGTTATTTTTTTTTGGCTGACTGCATCTTCATTTTCCGGCTCGGAGATTGTCCCATGGGGACTGACGCGACGTGTGGATTGAAGGAAGGAGTAGCCGTCACCAAGGCGAGTTTCCGTCCGGGCGCATGGAGTGAATGGAGGTGGCAGAAGATTCCTTGGCTTACCTGACTGGAAAGCACAGGTTGAGGAAGGACCCCTTCGTCCAGATTGATGGCAGTACCAGAGGAATGAGTACCCTTTTTATTTTATTTTATGAAGGAAAGATCTTTTAAATTATATTGAGCTTTGGACACTAATAGGCTATGAAGGGACATTAATTTTATATTTTTGGGTTTCGGGGATAAGGAGGTGGATTTCAATTTGTAAAGGCATGTTGTAGAATTGATGTGAATGTAATCCAAATTCCTTTTTATTGTTAATCAAGATGGGCTAACACATGTTTTTGTGATGTTATTAATTTACTAAGGAATGTGCCAGTGTTTCTCTTGTTATTTTTATCAATTTAACATGGGCTATGAGTCACGTGAATTAAATTTAAAGAAAAAAAAATATATATATATAAGGGGTTGAAATGAAGATTTGATAGTTTATTTGACTTAATTCTCTCTTGTAGTTGGATGCAATATTAATGGTCATGAAAAGTCAAAGTATAGAAGTTGATATAAGTTAGCTTAATTTTATAGTCTAGCGAAGCGAAAATTCTTTTGGCTTACTTGAAGCAAACTTGGGTGAATTGATAATTGTATTAAGATGTGATATGGTATTTGGGAATAACCTTAACATTAAATCTACCGTGACTCATGCCCCATGCTTTGTGATTGATTTATTTTTATTTTTGTGTATCATGTATTAAGGACTCGCGAAATTTGCCGGATGGGTGCCCACCGTTTTCTTGTATATTGTGTTCTTTTTTTTATATCATAATCTGTGTGAATACTTTACATTTTAACTTAATATAATGTCTACAACAATCTTGAAGTTTTAACTACTTGATAAAGTGTGCAATAATTTTGAAGTATATTTATCTCTTATAAATGTGCAATATCTTACTTACCTCACTTATACGAGGATTCTCCTTTTTTAAATCACAGACATAGTTTAAATAAATTTTTACTGTTATTTACAAATTACTGATTATGTTGTCATTTCACATGTGCACCACCATCCTAGCAAATCTGAGCACTTGGTAAAGTTAAGATCCTTTGGGTTATTGCTAAAAAAATAATATACACAACGCACCTCACCATCCTATATTTTTTGTGATAACCGTTTAGCATATTGAATTTCCTTTACCTTTTGATGGTTGGCTGAATGCTGTAAAGGAGATAGATTTTTTTGTAAAGGTAAAAAGCTTAGTAAAATCACGACAGAAAAAATGCTGCCGTGACCAGGATTCGAACCTGGGTTATTGCGGCCACAACGCAATGTACTAACAACTATACATACAATCGGATTTTAATAGTGTAGATGATGGAACAGCTTTTCAGAAACCTTTGTAGATGGAACACTCTTGAATGCAAGCAAGAAATTGTGCATGCATTCCATTGTACAAATGGTAGATGATCTTTCGTAGGATGGATATCCATGATTATTGGACCTATTCAGTAAAATCAGCAATAGTCATTACAATATAGGGGCAAGAACAAAGACAACTTTCTTTATATCATACTCTAACTCATTATGTGATAGATCTGGTAATGTGACAGCCATGGAAGAGTATTGACATTTAAAAGAACATGTTGGCTTACAATTCCAGTATGGGGCTTAGCATTTTCATGCTTAAAAAAGCCTCCAACTATCTGTTCATGAACTACATCACAATGGATTATATCAGCATTCTGATAAATTGGTTTCCATTCAAGGTCGTTGGGTTAACAACAAGGTCCTGTTCTCGGTTGAAATCCCTCTTTCAACCATAATACCTAGAGTCAACCCTATCTAAATTGGAAATAACTCAGAAAAAGCTTTTCAGAGATCTCCAACTTATTAGCACTGGACCAAGCAAGCAACAAGAAAATTCAGATCATGCCCATGAGCACAACACTGCACCACAGAAGAGGTGTTGGTAATGCCAAAGAGTAACCACAAAGGAGCTACTTCACCACCACCTTGCCTTAACATCTGAGGTCATCTGAATGACGGCCAACACAACATCAACATGGGAACCAAGGGTGGAGTCCTAATGCTTATCATTAGCCTCGGCCCAACCTCTCCTGCAGAAGGTATGTCCCATCACTGGAGTGGAGGCAACTTAACCCCCATACCATTACTATATCCACTAGGGAACCAAGAACCTGCTTACTTATCTGGTAACTTCTAATCCATGTATTCATGGTGCCCTCCAGTCAGTTAATGTCGAAGAGCAAGTGGTGAAAAAGCTGAAAGACATCTGGAGCAGAGACCACACATCAAGAGATATTTCTAACTGCCTATGATGTGACTTGGCCTTGCAAAAACAACTTGAATCTGATCTGCTAATATATTCCAATGAGCTATAGCCATGATATGAATTTATCAATCTTCCCTTTTACAAGTTTCCCACAGCAGCCTAGACTCTGGTATTCTTGCATTATTGCTTTCAAAAGATCAATAATTATACACAACTGCAACATTTCAATTCATTCTTTCTATGATTTGGCAGAAGAAAAAAATTATTCCTCTTTGCAGCCATACAATCCTATCTCATCCAACTGCACATTATCTCACTATTCCTTCCTTCTAGATATTCAGTACACTTTTAAGCAGTGTTCGCACATCTTTATAAATCATTAATATTTCATACAGTCAACTACTGGCATGACATGCATGGTAGACCATTGTGCATTCACTCACAGCAATGTGCTAATGCAAATGATTGCAACACTAAAACCTTAAACAGAATTTCAAGTAGGATACAGGAAAAAGTAGTATCACTGGCAGATCCTTCAAGCAAAGATTTTTTTCCTTCAACAGCTTAATGAAATCATATTCTAAATTGATAAGCAATATGAAAGGTAGTCAAATAATGGAAAGATTAGACCAATAGTTTTGTCAAAAACAGTAACCACTATAAATGTGAATTACAGTAATGGAGAAAAAGAATAATACTTAATAATATAGAAAATACTTAAAATGTATTAGTTACTACTAACTTGCGCTTTGAGGATTGGAATTTCCTCCGATTCTTGACTGGCCATTTCCAGCCGATCAGAAAGTATCTTGATCTTTCCATCTCGCTCTTCCAGCTGCTGTTCTAAGTCAAACAACTTTGCTGTCAACTCATCAATTTGCTCCAGGGCCCTTTTTGCTTCCTGTTCACGTTCACTCAGGAATTGCTCATTCTGAAAAGGCAATTACATTTTTATTTTTGAAAGATCTAAATATTTATATTTTCAAAATTTGTTTCATTAAGGCTTGTGCTACTGTAAACTGGTTATATAAAGAAAAATATAAGAATAGTATCTAAATAATTAAATTGTACACAAGATTAATATCACGCAAAATTATTAGAGTTATTTATACAAATAATCACAATAAAATATCTTGTTTCCAATTTGTCCATAATAATCCTTTAGGTATTGTGTGAATCATTAAATAAAATATTTTGCCAGAAACACATGATATGTTATATAAAGTACTAAGATTTTAAAAAGAACTAGAGGTGGATATTCTTACAAATTGTAACAGAATTGATACAACCTATGATTTCATTATATACTAATCACATAATTTTTAAAACAGTTCATGCAGAAAAATTTGAACAAACTAAAAATGCGTCCGACTTCATTCAGGCTAAATTTCAAGTTACCAAAGTTTGTAATTTAAATGATAAAACAATAATATTATGCACCAAAATATTTGTAGCTGAACTTTAGATGCATTATCCAGAAGGAAAAAACTTTTTCTCGATTAATAGCAACTGAAGTTGGGAATAAGAAATACCAATCAAGAAACACAAGTAGAAAAAACAATGGATAATAAAAATTTATTTCAACTAATGAAGATAAATAATTACAATTTGTAAGTGAGGTAGGGAGAATGCTCAAATCTTTTAGGTAGATTCCTTGGAATACTATCTAACGTAATGGATCTCATAATGCAACTTCTGGAAAATTCCTGCAGTTCTTCACTGATCATGGTCCCTAGAACTCCAAACCACTATGTGTTCAAAAGTTTATATTATATTTTTATTAAATATTATAAAAGGAAATGTTTATGTGCGTGAGTGCATGCTTGTGCCCGGTGTCCAGACAAATCTATCGCACTCACAGCCATGAAATTTGGCACACAGGTAGAGTAAAGGTGACTCAATGCACGTCGAAGTCGGAATTTAAAAATTCGATCTAGAAAATTTTTGATTTAATGTTTTGGGTCATTTTTGGCATGTTTACAGCTGTAGCATCTTTTTTAATGACTTTTGAAAAACAATCAATGCACCATCGGATAAAGCAAACAATTTTTGTTCTAATGGAGTTTGTTTTGAATTTCCAACATAATTTACTGAATTTTGAGAAATTGGTAAATAATAGTCACTTTTATGGTAAGTTTTGATAAGGATTTCTTCAAATTCTCACATCTGATGTTCTAATAAATCTATAATTTTCATTCTTTTTCCCCAGCTTATAACTGGAATGTTTCTGTCGGATTTAAAACAAGAATGGTTAAAATATCTTATTCAATTTTTTTTGGAATTAATTTTTCCCTGAACAGTTCAAACAGTTTTTTTGCTAGCGAGATTTGACAACAGTTTGTTTTGAACTTCAAATGCAATTTATTGAATTTTGAGAAATTTTTAAAAAATAGTCAGTTTTGCCATCGAAATTTTATTTTTGTTTTTAAATTTGCTGCATCCGACATTCTAATAACACTATTACTTTCAATTTTTTTCAGCTTATAACTGGAAGGGTTCTGTCGGATTTAAAACAAGAATGGGTAAAATGTCTTTTTCTGTTTTTTTTTTAAATTAGTTTTTTCCTGGTCAGTTGAAAGATATTTTTTCTAGCGATCATTCTCCTGCTTAAGTTTCTCCGGAGCCTTCCCAATATGCATTGTTGCAATTTCATTGGCTGATGGTGCAGAGTGCAGGATACATCATAACCTTCAACTGAATGACTTTGATTATTACTTTCGACAGTGTCTTAACTTGCTTATGTCTCTCATATTTTGCTTGCTGTATAATAATCGTTTTCACATTGCAATTTTTTAATATTGTTTCGGATTAATGTACTCTTTATTGTTTTTCAACATTTGAAATGTCATTATTGTGAAGAGAAATTTTGAAAAGAAAAATAAGTGGGAAAATCAATAATGTGTATCTTTTATTTTGTTTTCAAAACTTTTTCATGTCATTGTGGACATTTTTTTTTAATATTTTGTTGAAGTCCTGATTCCATGGGCAATGCCGTGCATGTAGTGTCAGTATATTTAATGCTTTAGCCACATTATCTTGTGAACACAATAACTACAGTAATTTTCGCTGGATTTGAACCATTGAAAGATATGTTGAAGGGAGGGCGAAAATCTCAGCTGAGTTTGTACTGATCATTTCAAAATGCCAAGACTAGCACTTTTTAAAGATTTTATTCAAGAAAGGGGTGACATGCAACAAGTAGGATGAGCACATTTCTGGAGTTTTTTGTTAGTTCATGCTAAGTAAAATGTATATACCTCCTCCTCCATTTCTCACTTCACCCCTATTTTGGTGAAATAAACTCTTCCTGGCACACGTGCAAATACCCGAAGGGTTTAAGAGTCCGAGAATCTTCTATATATGGGCTATCTAGCTCTAAGAGGGGGGGGGGGATTTCATTTTCCAATAACTTCCTTATGATTGAAGATAGAAAGATCGCCTCATCATAATGAACAACTTCTATAGTGGAAGTTTTTTGACAACTGCAATTGCTAAGAAGGTATGGACTAAAAAGTGATTTTCAAATACTAACTTGAATTGTTTTAACACGATAATGTTTATAATCTGGATGTTATCTGTAAATTGTGTAATGCATCATCATGAGACATTCATGATGCAAAATCGTTCAAAACCATCTGCAGGTCAAACTATTGGGCCTAGAGATACCAAATTTGGCACTTACTTTCTTTTTGGGCAGTAGGTGCTCATAAGAAAGGGTTTTTCAAAATTTTAAATAGAATTTTAATTAAAAATTAATAAAAATATTAACATTTTTCTTCGATAACTTCGTAGCATGTTATTGCATATAAGCTATTTTTACACCACTTTAAAATTCTAAAAATAAGCTTTTCAGTGACACTGATTTTATTTCCATACAAATCTTTTTTTTCTAATTTTAAGGAATTTTTAAAAATATTTTTAAGTATTTATTTTACAACAATACTTTACAATGTTTAAATTACTGCTTTTATACACATGTTGTGTTGTGACGACATTAAAGTGTAATTTTTTGTTCACACGTTATCATAGCTATAATTAATAGTAAATTTTAAAAAATATAAAAA